GGTGGGGATGGTTTTAAATTGAAAGAGATTTAGATTAGATGTTAGGAACAAATTCTTCCCTGTGAGGGTGGTGAGGCCCTTGGCACAAGTTGCTAGAGCAGCTGTGGCTGCCCCATCTCTGGAAGTGTCCAATGCCAGCCTGGGAGAGTGGAAGGTGCCCCTGCCATGGCAGGGGGTGGGACTGGGTGATCATTGAGGTCCCTTCCAACCAAACCCATTCTGGGATCATATGATTATGGACAGCGTAGCTGTTCCATGCCTGCCACCTCAGAGAAGAGTTTGTGGGCTGGTTCAGACTCTGCTGTTACACAGCAAGGACTGTGAAAGGTGTTTTTGTTTGGGCTGGACTTCTGTGTTCCAGACATTACAGCATTGCCTTGCATGATCTCTAAAGCAGCAGTGCATCACAAAGTCAGGACTGTTTCTCTTGGCCATATCTTGTTCTGCAAAAGTTTTAAATAAACATCTCGAGGAAATGGGAATGTCAGTTCAGGAAGTTTCCATTTAAAATATTTATCTGTGCTATTATTTTCTTTTAAACTATAATAGCTTTGTGAAGGAGCAAGCTGCAGTGGCTTGTATGTATTGTGGCGATACAGCCATTAATTGTTGAGGTGAATGACTCACTGGTGCTGTGTAGGGGCATATTGCCCCTGCCAGTTCAGGAGGTGACACAGGGTATTGAGTTGTACTGCACTCTCTGCCTGTCCTAAGCCTTTAGATCTGTAGATAATCTGATCCAGCTCAATACTGTCTTTTGGTCAAGCCTAGAAAGCACTTTTCAAAGGCTGATGCTTACATGAAAAATGTTTTTTCCCCTCTTGGCAGCGAAAAATGAAGCTGACCGTCAGGCTGAGAAGCGCGAGATCAAGCGGCGGCTCACCAGAAAGGTACAGCAGGCTCCCGGGCGGTGACAGCGCTGGCAGCGCTGCCGGGCACGGCGGCACTGAGCACGCTGTCGGGACCGTGCTGGGGGCGAGTCACGGGGCTCTTGTGTACGTGTCCCCAGTGCCCTCGGACTGTCACCCACGGTGAGCCGCTGGCACCGGGGCTGTGTTTTTGTCAGGGACAGATCTGAGCTGGCAGCGAGTGTAACAAGCGAGATGAGAACTAAATTTGGCACCTGATACTTTAAAGGTTTGCTTTAACACAGTGCTTCAGCAGCCACCGCTTCACACCAGGCTCCCTAAAATCCATTTCTAAAGTAACAGCAGTGTGGGAGCTGAGCAGCGTAACAGCTGCTTTTAGCTGTTACATCCAAGTTACTTGAGATTGTTGCTCATGGCTGCGAAAAGCTTCCCCAAGGCCTGTGGGTGTGAAGTGTGAGTGCTGCCATTGCTGAAGCTGTGTTTAGTGGTGTTGTGCAGGGCTCACTCTTGTAGCAGCTGTTCCCTCACCCCTTAGTCCTTCTCCATGACAGTGTGGCCCAGGTTCTGCCCTAGCCTGGCTTTGTGAGCCCAGTGGGAGTATCCAGTCTGTGAGAGGTTTGCCTGTTCCCTTGCAAACTGCAGGCAGGATCTGGTAGTGTCTGTGCGTAAGGCACAGTGAGGGAACTAGTTTTAGTTTTGCTTGGGGTGCTTAGTCCTGGATCTGCTTTGTGAACAAGGCTCACACTGACCTCCTTTGTTTTTCCTGGTGTTCAGCTTAGCCAGAGGCCTACAGTGGCAGAGCTGCAGGCCAGGAAGATCCTGAGGTTTAATGAATATGTGGAAGTAACAGATGCTCAAGACTATGATCGGCGAGCAGATAAGCCTTGGACAAAGCTGACACCAGCTGACAAGGTAACTGAGAGTGTCCTGTGCCCACATGAGAAGAGGAGCCACACCAGGGTGGCCCACACAAACGGCTGTGAGCCAAGGAGATTTGCTTTGTTCCTCTGGCTTCACTTCATCTTTCCCTCTGCCACCCCACCTGTGTGCCTTCACTTGCATGTGCTGTCCCAGCTCTGCTTCCTGCTGCCTCATGGCAAGGTGGAGCCCAGGTGGGCACAGTCTGAAAGCCTGCATGGCTTCTGCCTTAGCTTCTGAGTGATGTAAGCATCATAAAACATGGAATCATTAAGGTTGGAAAAGCCCTTTGAAGATGATGGAGTCCAACTGTTTACCCAGCACCACCATGCTCACCAGTAAACCATGTCCCCAGGTGCCCCATCTGCACATTTTTGAACAGTTCCTGGGATGGTGATTCTACTACAGCCCTTTCTATGGAGAAATTTTTCCTTATATCTCATCTAAACTTCCTCTGGTTCAACCTGAGGCAGTTTCCCCTTGTTCTGTCACTTGTTACCTGGAGAAGCAACCACCCCCCAGCTGTCTTGACCCTCCTGTCAGGGAGGGAGTTGTAGAGACTGAGAAGATGCCCCCTGAGCCTTCTTTTCTCCCGGCTCAGCCCCCCACCTCTCCCAGCTGCTCTTGGTGCTCCAGACCCTTCCCCAGCCCCACTGTCTTTTCTCCACACAGCAGGGATACTGAGTATTGGTCATAGCAATGCAGTTCCCTGCAGGCGCAAGAAACTGGCAGGGAACTCTGTCCTTGTCGTCCCAGGCCACCTCTGGGGACTGCCCAGCCCTCATCGGGGAGGGGCAGATTACATTCGGTTTGGTGTTAATGGACTGTGAAAACTGGGGTGGCTGCTGCAATCGGAGCCCTTTTCTTTACAAAAAATTCTCCCTCTCTGTGCAGGCAGCCATCAGGAAGGAGCTGAATGAGTTTAAGAGCTGTGAAATGGAAGTGCACGAGGAGAGCAAGCAGTTCACGAGGTGAGAATGTGTTAAGCTGAGAGTTTTAGTCCTGATGGAGCTGTCGGAGCTGTGCTGCAAGGACAGTGCTCAGTGGCACAACACTGAAACCTTAGAAAAATTATTTGTGCAGCAGTTGGAGATTGAATGTCCCTGTCTGTCTCAGTCCTGGGGGGAGACTGGAGCAGCAGCAGACACAAAGTGAGTTGTTTTTCCCTTAAACTGGGGCTTCCATCCTGGAGCCTCAGTGACCAGTGTCTAGTTTGAGGTGTATCTGAAGCCGGTGTGAAGCTGCAGCTGGAGTGAGCTTTTCTGGGGCTAGAGATGTGCAGCCACAGCCACAGAAATACTGGCTAATGAGTTACCTCGGATGTAATCTATGTAATCAGGTCTGGATCACAGCCCAAGTGATTCCTTTCCTTCCTGCTCTGTGTGGCAAAGTTGAGTGCAGAGCACAGGAGGTGAAATTATATGATGTTCACAGCTTCCCAGAGGGCTGAGAGTTCTGAGATAATTCAGTTTACTCTCTGGCCATCTGGGGTGTCTAAGTAACCGTTTAACCTGAGTTCCAAGGATAACACTCAGATTTTTCACTTGGCTTTCAGATACCATCGACCATAATATTCCAAGGAGGGAGCAAGAAACCCGTGTGGGCTGGAAGTTCTCTGCATCCCTCTCCAAGCAATACAGTGAGGGTGGAACCTCAGCTCTTCCAAGATTTGCCTTCCAAACATATCCAGAAAGGGCTTTCGGCCAGGGAAGGGGAATCCTGTCTGAATGTAGCATTTCACTGGAACAAACACATCTCTGACGCCATCAGGCTGGAACTGACACTGTACCTCGTGTGGCTCAGCAATACGACTCTGCCAGGAGACCGTGCCCAGCTCGGACCCCTCCCTCCCAGCTTGTACAGACTTCTCTTGGGGAGAGCAGCTCCTCCTTTCCTCCTCCCCTCCGCGAGGAGGGGAGATGAAAAACAAAGGCAGCTCTGATGCTGGGAAGCTGAGGAGAGCATGTGCTCAGAAGCAAATGTGTGTATATCAGCTGTGTACAGAGCCCTGGCAGACAACTGACATGGCACTTGCTGTTTTTTGGGGGTTTTGCTTTTTTGTCATGTCCTTAGTGCCCTGAATCACTACTGACCAACGGTTTGTTGTCCTGGAAGGGAACTGTGTAGATATTAACATATGCTGCATCTTTTTGTTAAAAAAAAAAAAAAGAAAAAAAAAAACCAAAATATGTATAAATGCTCTGCACTCTCTCACACTTGCTGTGATCTTAATAACAGATCTTGAGATATTTAGGCTTGTTTAACAAATTATAGAACCAGGAAAAATGACTGTTGCCTTTTTAAAACTTTTTAATTTGGGGAAACTGTGAGAGTAGTCAGTCCTTTTTATTGTGGCTTTCTCTCAAATGTTTTCTACTCTCCCAAATCAGGGTTGAAGCTTGCCTTTTTCTCATTTTTACAGCTAAACCTACTGGAATCTTGATCGTTTCACTGTGTGGGTCAAAAGGAGGGGAAGAAAAGGTTTAAAAAGTGACCTTAAAAAAACGGTATTTCTCTTCTGAGAGAAAAATTCTTCCTCTATGCGGGTTAAAAAAAAAAAACAAACCTGGTAGGGCCACTGCTGTATTATGCACAAATTAAACGATCTGTGAGATGCCACTTGTGCAGGGGTTTGGGGTGGGGAAGGGGGGCGGGAGGGAGAGAAGAACTTTCTCTTGTTCACAGAGCAGTGTGGCAACACGCCGGCCATGGCCCAGCAGCCGCTGGGGCTCTTCCCTCACGGCATCCCCTGTACAGCCGCCATTACATTGTATATCAGTCTCCGCAACAACAGATTTTAATTATTAAATAAAAGTATTTTAGAATTTTTTTTTTCTTAAACCCTGCTTGTGTGTGGTTGTGTCTTTTGAACCGATCTCAGTTGGAGCCTGACCGGCGGCTCCTGAGGGGGCGGAGGGCGCTCAGCCATGGCGGCGCCTCCCCTGCGCCCGCGGCTTTTCGCGCCCTTCCCACTGCGCATGTGCCAACCTCTCTTGCAGCCATCGCGCAGGCGCGGCTGGCCCGGCCCTTTCCGCCGGGGGTTGGCCCCGCCGCCTATGCCCATATACGGTTTATCCCCGCCCCTCGTGCGGGACGCACGCGCGCATTTCTGCCCCGCCCCCGCGCGCTATAAAAATCGCCTCGCGGCGTGACACGGCCTTTTTCACCGTGAGGAGCGGGAAGGGCGGCAGGTAAGTTCTCTTCGCTTTTGCCCTTTTTACCCTTGAAACCTTTTGTGCTGCTGTGGCGTGAGGTCCTGCTGGCCGCGCAGCGCTGCGGTGTCAGCGGATGCCCGCTCCATCCCCGCATTAACGCTAAAATACGCCGTGAGTTACACGTGGCTGTGGGTGCTGCGGAGTTACCCCGCGCCCCCTCAGCCGCCCCTCAGAGCCATTTCCTTTTGCTACAGGTACCACGAAAAGGCCGTTAAAGCTTGTTTTGTCCAGCCTGCACCTCCATCGTGAGTATTTTTCGTGTGGCCCCGCCGCGTGGTCGGCGGTGGGACGCGCGGGGGCCTGGGCAGGGTCAAGGTTATAAATGTTTATAAATGCTTAAAGCAAAGGTCCAACGTGGATATCCGGAGAAGTCGCTCTCTCTCGGCTCTGTCCGTGTGGCGCATGGGAGCGCAGGCCCTCGGGCCCGTGACGTATAGTCCCGTTCCACGACGTTGGAGAACAAGCCGGGCCCCGAGCCTGCAGCCTGCATATTCCTACTGCTTCTCTGAGCCCTTGGGCCGTGACAGAGGAGACAAACCATGCAGGAAACACTGACACGCGGGGCGGACGGGGCACGCGTGCAGAGCTGGGAGGGAGAAACAGAAAAACACAAGCTCCTGAGCAAATCCTTAAAGTACCTCTTTTTTTCTTTCCAGTGCCAAAATTGAAAAAGTTGAAGTGAAACACGATTTTTGAAGGTAATATCTGTGTTTAAAATGTAATATTCTGTGTAGTTTCAGTGATGCTTGTTGAATCATTGGGTCAAATTCCAATCCCGACGATATAGGTAGTAGTAATGCAAGTTCAGATCGCAGGCTCCTAGCTTTGACCATTGTGTTCGATTTTGGATAGATGGGGAAAAGAAATTCCTGATTCTTAAGGGGCAAAAAAAACCCGGTCATGAGTCTTGGCAGACAGAAAAAAAGTTTTATTGTGGGACACGTGAAAAAAGCAGGAAAAAACCCTCCTTTTTCCTAAAACATTGCAGGAGCTGCTGGGGCGAAGGAATAAAGAAAAATCCGCATTTAGTGGGAGAGGGTGAGTATATTAAAGAGTCTCCCCAAGTTAGATGGCTGCCCGATTCCTGTTCATGACTACATGTAATAAAATACAGCCGCAGAAACCAAAACTCAGTAGAACCAGGGATGTGTGGATTTACGGGTCTTTTAAAGCACGTGCTTGGAGCGCGTGTGGCCCTGTCCCTTGGGGGGACGTGCACTTGGGGAGTTGGTGGAGTTACACAGGTTGTGGGTAAGCTGCTCGGGAAGGAAAGGGTGTGCTGAGGGCTTGGCTGCTCGGCTAAGAGCTGCTTTTGGCATGCTTCAAACTGGGAAGGGGGCTCTGGGGAAGCATGAGGGATAGGTAAATAAGGCGTGTGCTCTTCTGGGGACTACACAACTTCACATCGATTCGACCTTGTGGGGCCGGGATGTTACAAGGAAAGTGATGCTGAAGGAGGGTGGGTTATATGTGGGATGTGTGTGTTCAGGCCCTGAAATACAGCTCTCACTCTCACGTTGGTGTCTGAATCTGTACCCGTCCGCGTTACAGACAACTCAATAAACTGAACTTGGCTTTGGCTTCGTGTGTGTTTTTGGTGGGTGAATATTAGGGAAAACTTCATGCTCTGGGTGGTGCCTCTGTAGAAGTATAATTCTGCTGCTGACCCGTCTCGAAAATGAAAAAGTGTGCAGAAATGCTCTGGCACGCTGTTGGGGCTGGATTGTGAGCAGTCCTGCCTTCAGTCCAGGTTTGGATTATCGGGCACAAAGCCTTCATACGGGCTTAGTCGAGAAGGGTTGATGGGGTCTGTTAGCCGGGGTGTGGCCTGGGAAAAGCAGGGAGGGGATCGCGCGTCTTTCCCTGGCCCGGGGTGCTGCGGGGCTGGGTGCAGGGGAGGTGCCGCTGTGCGCTGGGTGAAACTGCGCCAGCAGTCCGCTGCGTGTCCTGTCCTGGCCGTGAAGTCCCCCGGGAAAGGATCAGGGGCTGCCTGTGTATCTGCTCTTCCGTCAAGTCCCGACGTGAGCCTGGGGTAGATGCTCCCTGGTGATGACTCCCCGAAGGTTTTCCAGTCACACGGGCTGCGGGTGACCCCTGAGATCACGGTCTGCATAAGGGAAGGCTGGTGTACCAGCCAAGGTGTTAGCTAGGTTCGTGATTTTATTGGTAAATAAAAGGTGATGTGGCCAAATGGAGGCCTCTGGACTGGAACAGCAGAGATAATCGCTGGAATAAGGGTAATTGCATTGGATGAAGGGGGAAACTCGAAAGTGATGTCTCCCCATTAACCTGAGAAATTTGGTCTAGTTCCAGTTTGAAGAGTAAAAGTATATTTTGTGCTTTTTGCAGCGGTAAGTTGCTGGAAAAGATAGCATCTCAGACTTTCTGGATTTCAATAGTCTGTCGTTATCGTTGTTCTGCTCGTTTCTTTGCAGCGGCTCTGTTCCATCCCGGCCGGCTGCGGCCCCGGAGGCTGGGGGCATCTCTGCCGGTTAGAAGCAGCCTGAGTTAGTGACACGGATTGATTGTCCGGGGCCAGTGTATTGCCAACCGCGAGCCCTGCCTTTTACCGCCTGTCCTTCTGTGTCTTTCTGTCCCGTTGTCCTGCCCCACCTGTCCTCACTGCGTCCGTCCGTCCGTCCGTCTGTCCCGCCCGACGTGCGGCAGTGACCTGACCTGGCCGGGCGGGACCGCCAGCCGGCAGGGGGCGCCGCGCCGCCAGGAGCGCGCGCGCGCATGCGCAGAGCGGAGCGCGGCGCAGCCGGCGGGCGGTGAGGGAGCGCGGCGGGGTCGAGCCGGGAGAGCGGCGGGAGAGAGCGGCGGGGACGGGGACGGGCATGGGCATGGGGACGAGTGCGCGGCCGCGGGGGTCCCGCCGAGGCTCGGGCCGTCCTCGGAGCGGCCGGCCGGCCAGCAGGAACAGCTGCAGGCAGCGGCAGGAGCAGCCGGTCCGGGCTGTGGCCTGCGCGGCCCCACGTGAGGCGGCGCCGCGGGGAATTCGAACGGCGGGCAGGGGCGGGGGCGGTGCTCGGGCCATGCGGAACCGGGAGGGGGTGAGGATGCACGTACGGCTCGGCTCCCATTCTTCCCTTTTCCTCCTTTCCCGTTTTCCTTCTTCTTTCTTTTCCCTTTCCTTCACTCTTCGCCTGCCTGGACCTGAAATCTGGACAGGTTCACATCTGCATGAAGTAGGGAGCACGGATGAAACATACAAGGAAAAACTTTCTATTTTCCCAGAGTAGGAGGAGGGATCAGTGTTCAAATACCAACTCAGTCACCGGTCCCTCAGGTGGTTTTTTGGATTTAAAAAACAGTGAACAACACGGTTCTCCAGGTGGGTGACTCCTTACAGGCTCTTTTTGTCATTTAGATTCCAGGATGCCAGGAAGACGCAGAGAGCAGATCCTGGTGCCAGAAGAAGAGTCTACTGAGACGAAAAAGGTTAAAGGTAAGAAAAATCCCTTGGAATTTTTCTCCCACTTTCCCAGGGGTGATTTTCACCAGGAAACTTGTGCCACCACATGTTCTTCCTCCCCCTCCCACCCCTCAGTCAGCCACCCATCACACCACTCATAGCCTGGGCCAGGGTAACGTCGGCTCTTTTTGTCATTTAGATTCCAAGATGCCAGGAAAACGCAGAATGAAGATCCTGGTGCCAGAAGAATCTCCTGAGACGAAAAAGGTTAAAGGTAAGGAAAATCCCTTGGAGTGGTCCTTCCACTTTCCCAGGGGTGATTCTCATCAGGAAACTTGTATCCCAACGTGTTCTTTCTCCCCCTCCCACCCCGCAGTCAGCCACCCATCGCATCGCTCACAGCCTGGGCTGGTGTTGACCCTGGGCCAGGGTAACGTTGGCCAGCTGGGTCTGGGTGAAGACATCATGGAGAGGAAGAAGCCAGCTCTGGTCACGCTGCCAGAGATGGTGGTGCAGGTGGAAGCTGGAGGGATGCACACGGTGTGCCTCAGCCAGACTGGAAAGGTAAGTGCAGTGGGTTCTGAGATGTGTTCTGGAGCAGGGGGTAGGAATCAGCCACTGCTCTGCCCACATCTTGTTGCAGCTCTAGCGGTGAGCATGGTCTCACGTGGGCCACAAAATTTTAGGGGATCAAAAGGAGGACCTGAAAGGGACCTGCGAGAGAATTGGAGAGGGACTTTGGACAAGAGCATGCAGTGATAGGTCCAGGGGGAATGGCTTCCCACTGACAGAGAGCAGATGGGTGACACTGCCATTTTAGATGTGATACTGGGAAGTTCTTCCCTGTCAAGGTGGTGAGGCTCTGGTACAGAGAAGCTGTGGCTGCCTCATTGCTGGAAGTGTTCAGGACAGGTTGGACAGGGTTTAAAGCCACCTCATCTAGTGGAAGATGTTCCTGCCCATGGCAGGAACTTTTAAGGTCCCAAACCATTCCATGCTTCTGTAATAATTCAGTCTCGTGAGTCTCTGTCCCCTGACTTCATACTCAGCCTGTTGCCCCTCTGAGCTCCATCCTGACCCCTTGCACCAAATCTGCAGATCTACACCTTTGGCTGCAATGATGAAGGTGCCCTGGGACGCGACACCTCGGCCGAAGGGTCTGAGAGCTCTCCAGGGCTGGTGGAGCTGCAGGAGAAGGTGGTGCAGGTGTCGGCGGGGGACAGCCACACGGCCGCGCTGACTGAGGACGGCAGGGTCTTTGTCTGGGGCTCCTTCCGGGTACGCTGATTCCTCGGATGCTTCAAGCTCTGCTGGTGGCTGCTGCTCCTGTGGCTCATCCCTGTGTCTCTCTTCCCTCAGGATAACAATGGAGTGATCGGCTTGCTGGAGCCCATGAAGACGAGCTCTGTTCCTTTGCTGCTCCGGCTCAACGCGCCTGTTGTCAAAATAGTTTCAGGTAAGCCAGTGTCGTTGAGATGGTCCTAACAAACAGAGCTACACCATGTATTTAAGAAGGCTTCTCTTTTATTTTAGCAGCATGCTGTCTTTTTATTCCCTCTCACAAAGTTTACACGTGTTCGTTGGCCACAATAAATCAACATAATGTTCATTGGTGCAGGGTGGTCAACACCACTGTTTTCTGTCAGGATCTAAGTGCAGACCCCCTTGTTTATCTTTTGTTCTCCTCTGTTTCCATGCTGACAGCCTTGGTAGAACTCCTTTCAGGGGCAAAAGCTTCTCTTCTTCAACTAACCCTTTCTGACTCACAAACCAGGTGTGAGCCCCTTCCACAAGCAAGGCCCTGGGGTGTGCAGGGTCAGGCAGGTACATGAGGTTGTCACAACCCTTGAGGAACATCCATGACCTTTTCCTCCGTCTTGGCTTGTTCCGAGCCTGATACAAGGGTATACTTGCTGATCTCTGGCTCTTCCAGAGAACAGACCTTTTAGCCCAAACATATTTTAGCCCCAACAGATTCTCATATTGAGTTAATATTTGACCAGTCTGATGTAGAATGCCTTCCAAGAGTGGCCTGGACTGTGACCCTGTGGGGCAAGAGCACTTGCTCTCTAATGAGTGCTGGGGAAGCCAAGCACAGCAGCCAGGGTGCTTGTCCAGGGCCCAGGGGAGTTTGGGGCATACCTGTGTCCTTATTACCTTCCCAGAAAAACTGCTTTGAATTCCTGGGATCAGGAAGAGGGAGGTTCTGGAGTTTTAGGTGGTGGCACAATTGGTGTCGAGGTATCAAACGCAGTAAACCCCATAAGCTGGGAACAACTGGGGTTTACCTGTGGGGTCTCAGCCTCCAGAACTTGCTGAAGACTTCTCCGTAACTTCTCTTTCCTTCCCGTCCCAGGAAATGACCACTTGGTGATGCTGACAGTGGATGGTGACCTGTTCACATGTGGCTGCGGTGAACAGGGCCAGCTGGGCAGAGTGCCAGCACTCTTTGCCAGCCGAGGAGGACGGAGAGGACTGCGTGAGTGGATTTAGTTCTCAGAGATGCATCCTTTGGCTCCAGCTCTGCCCTTTGCAGAGGAACAAAGGGAGCCACTCCCTGGTGCTCGAGGGCTTATGTGCAATCAGTGATGTAAATGCAGTGAGCCAGACCCTTAGATGCAGGGAGGGTGTAAATCCTTAGTCCTTGTATAACACCTTGTCTCCTACTCCAGAGCGGATGCTGGTCCCCCAGCTTGTCCCTGTCAGAGGCAAAGGGAGAAGAAGCAAAATGCGCTTCCAGGACGCTTTCTGCGGGGCGTATTTCACCTTCGCCGTCACACGTGAAGGACACATCTATGGATTTGGCCTCTCCAACTACCACCAGCTGGGTGAGCTTCACCTGTGTCCCTCCACATCTCCTTCAAGTCTGCTGCTGCCCTGGCCTGGTGGGGGGAGCTGCTGGGCACCCCAGAATCTAAACACTGGATGCACCAGAGCTGGAAATGGGGGTGGGGCTCACCCTGCCTAGCTCTGGGTTTAGGTCCCAGCCATGTGCCCACTGGGTTTGAACAGAAATTAGATTTTGGGGCTGGGCATCTGTATTGCTCTCTGGTAGGGTGAGCCCCAGGGTGGATGGCTCAGTGCCAGAGCTGTCCATGCCCACGGGCCTGATCCGCCCGGGTTTGTGCGTCCCACCCTGCAGGGACCCAGGACACCGAGCCCTGCTTCTCCCCGCAGAACCTCACGTGCTTCAAGAACTCCACCAAGTCTTGGGTTGGGTTCTCTGGCGGGCAGCACCACACGGTCTGCGTCGACTCTGAGGGTGAGTGACACTGTGACAGGTGGGCTGGCACTCACACAGCAGGGTGGGGGGATCCCGTGGCCCTCAACCCGGCCAAGGAGCTGTTGGGATGAGGGTGATGTGCTGGAGCCCTCCAAGCTCTCAGTGTTCAAGGAAACAAGGGTGGTGTGAGATTGCAGCGAAGGGAAGCTGACAACAGAAACCTGGACTCAGTTGTGAACTCTGCTCTTGTACCTATCCACCTTACTGATTTTGGGGAGCTAAAGGGTCTCTGTCCCACCCTGCCCCTTCTGGATGGGTCTCAGGGTGTGGTATGGAGGAGTGGAGCTCCTTCAGGAGTCAGACCTGGGAAGAGATCCTGGTCTGATTTGGCCCTGCTATAGCTTCTGCCCTCCTCAAGTCTTGTCTCTTATGTATCTGCTGTGCTCCAGGTAAAGCCTACAGCCTGGGCAGGGCAGAGTATGGCCGGCTGGGCCTTGGGACAGGGGCAGAGGAGAAGAGCACACCCACAGTTATCCCGGAGCTCCCCAGTATCATCTCGGTGGCCTGCGGAGCGTCAGTTGGTTACGCCGTCAGCAGTGATGGTGAGTGCCAGGCTTTGGGAACCCTGCCTTCTGGACTTCCTTCATCCCTCTATCCTGCCCTACACACCATCACCACACCTGACAGCTGGGTTGGGACTGGAGCCAGGTCCTGGTGCCCATCACCTGGGCAGTGCCTGCCCAGATGCGTTTGTGGGCCTGTGGCAGCAGGGTTGGTCGTGTGGTGTTGACCAGGAGGGCATTGTTGGCCTGACAATCTCTTCTCTGATTCCACTGATGCCAGACCTCTGTGCTCTGGTGCTGCATCTGCCTGTGTGCAGTGTCTGCAGGAAGGAAGGTTTGGAATGGGCTGTGGGTTCAGTTTTGTCCCCCAAAGGAATAAAAGTTCCTTGGCTCTGTGATGGAACACCTGTTTGAGTTGCAAGTGCTCCTCCTCTTCCTCCTGCTTGTTTTGGACTCATAGAAACTGTCTGGGTGCGAGGTCTCCTTCCCATTGTGCAGCCACTTGGAGCTCAAAGCTCGCTTCACCTCTGTTGCAGGACGAGCGTTTGCCTGGGGAATGGGCACTAACTACCAGCTGGGCACCGGGGAGGAGGATGATGTCTGGAGCCCCGTGGAGATGACTGGGAAGCAGCTGGAGAACCGGCGGGTGCTGGCCGTGTCCAGCGGTGGGCAGCACACTGTGCTGCTGGTCAGTGACAAGGAGCAGAGCTGATGAAGTGACGCCGCCACCGGGCCCAGCAGAATCACAGCACCCCCAGACCCCCCACAACTTCTGCCTGGCTTGGGGAGCCGATTACCTGGGGAGGGAGGAGGCTCATGGAGCTCGGCCCAGCAGCGCCTGCGTGGCTGGAACAGGGTGCCCATGGGTTCTCCCTGCAAGCGTTTGTCTGTTTTCCTGTGGTGCCCATGCTCTGTCAGCTCCCCGGGTCAGCTTGGTCCTAAACTGATCCCAGTTCTGTGCCTGGATGGATTTCCACTTCTTCTCGTCTGTTTTTTTAACGTTTCCTGGCCCAGCAAAGCCGAGGGTTTTGTTCTTCACTCTGCAATCAGGTTTGGGTAATAGTCTCCCTGAGGTCCCCATGTTTCCCAGATCTGGATGCTCCTCCACCCCCTTACCTAAATGCACCTCTCTGGCCTGGATTTGTTTGCTGCCACCCCCCAAACCCTTCTGAGCCCATTCCAGGTGGATCTGAAGGATCCACCTGCAGGAATGTGCCCAGGAATCTCTATCTTTTAATCCAGAGCTTGTGGCTCCTGTGGGGATATTCTGCCTCGTGAGGGAGAATGCTGCTGGATGATGCCTAGCACCTTGTGGCCTGCCTCCCATCCCTCAAGCTGAGGCCCCCAGGCAGTGAGGCCAGGAGCAGGTTCCCCAGTCCCCATGGCCTGGAGCAGTCACCTCACCACTGCTTTTTGCAGTCCTGGCCACTCCCTCTTTGCCTTTGGAAACCCAACCAAATCCATCCCACAGGTGGGAACACTGTTACTTTAATTTTTTCACTTTCCCTTGCTGAGGAAGGAGCTTTATTTGCTGTTAGGGCCTTGCTGAGCAGACACTCAGACCCCAGCTGAGCATGGAGACACTGGGAACAACAGGACTCCTCCCCGTTGCCTCCCTGATCCAACTGGTCTTGTTTCCTGTGCCCAGCTTGCTTCATCCTCTCCTTATAGGAGGTGCCTTGCAGGTACCTGGAGTGAGGAGGGGTCTGCAAAGAACTAAATTATAGCAATAGGAGGGGGGGTTGTGCCTGGGAAGGGGGGAGGTGTCTGGGGTTATACAATGGTTCTGGAGGGGTTGGATTTTTTAAAAAAGAAAATGTATTTTGGTTGATGAATCAAGGCAGAAAGGACAAAAAAAAAAAAGATCTTTTAACATTTGGAATAAACTGAGTTTTGATAAACCCAGGCTTTTCCTGCGCTTTGGAGGGCTGGGCAGCTCTCCCGTGGGGACAGTCGGGACAGGTGGCTGCTTTTTGGGGCGTTGTCCTGCTCCCGGCTGTGTTTGTGGCCTGCAGATGGCAGCAGGAGAACGCGCTGGGACTGGCAGAGCTGGGATGCTCCCTGTCTGTCCGCCAGGTCACCCCTGGTGTCTTTGGGTCTCCAGGAGCACAACCAAGCCCTGGCATGTCCGTGCTGGGTGCTCCGAGCCAGACGTGTGGAGACTGGAAGCCACGGGGCAAATCCACACCCCGGTGTGGAAGCCACGGGGCAAATCCACACCCCGGTGTGGCTGGAGCGCCAGGTCGCTGTTCACCTTTGATTCATCTGGGCAGGAGCAGGGTCCTTAGTGAGCCTGGGCACTGAGAGCAGCTCAGCAGCTCTGCTGCTCCCGTGTGGGATGAGCTTGGATTGACATCAGGGATGGCCTCAGTGGGTCCAGCTCTGCCTGGGGCGGGGGCTGGGGGCACCTACCTCCCATCAGGTGGGTTTGTTCTGGTGGTTGCAGTCCTAGGCTTGCAAAGGACTTTATTTTTCCCTCTAAGCATAAGGTTGAGGTGTGGCCCCACAGGGCACGTTGTGAGGGATTGAGCCCATATTTTGGCATCACTGCAGGCTGAGCCGTGGGGAAGTGCTCTCTAATCCCATGGCTAATTTTGCTCCCTGGGGACCATCACCATTTGATTCTCTTCAGTGAAATGTGACCTGCTGGATACCTGGTGGAGAAACTGCTCTTTGATTTGGGCTTGATTCCCAGCAACATTTATCCAAAACCAGCCTCAGCTACTGGGGAGATCCCACATCCCAGTGCTCCCAGTTCATCCCAAACATTGGCAGGTTTTTGCATCTATCTCCCACGTTTGGGCAGCAGGAACAAGATCAGAGGTGGCACAACTGTGTGGTCACCACAGGGCTGGATCCTGCCAGGAGCCAATGCAATTCCCTGCAGAGAAAACACAGATCATTCCCAAAAAAGATGGGATTGTACCCATCCCTGAGGGGCTGTTCCTGTTTCTGGAAAGGGGAAAACATGTCTTTGTGAATGGGAAGCTTGTTGGTATATTCAAGAAACGGGAAAATGGCTGGGGGAGAACAATAAGATTTAAAATATTCAGAACTTATGAATAAGCAATTGTCTTGGGAACCAGTGACACTTCAGTGGGAAGCTGCTGGAAACTGGGGGAAGGATGAGCCCCCACACAGGGGGGAGAGGGTGGGTGAAGGGAAACAGCTTAATTGAGGAAAGGGAAATGTCTCATTAACAAGGTTTAGTTCTCACAGAGTGGCTTGGGGGCATTTTGAGGATTAGAAGGAGGAATTTGGGTCCTGTGGAGTGGACCCCTGGCTGTGTCAGGGCCCAGCCTTAGTTGATGGGGAAGTTTTTCCAGCACTGACCCCTCCAGAGTCTCCCTCATCACCAGCTGGCAGCTCCAATCCCACACTCTGGTCTCCATCTCTTGCTATTGGAGGTGCATAAAAGGCTTTTGCTTTACAGACAAAAGCTGGGAAAGTGGAATTTGAGGGCTTTAGCATCCATGGAGGATGAGGCCTGGCAGTGTGAAGATCTTTTGGGCCCAGAACAAAAGCACTTTGAGTGTTTGTGGGGTTTGTGAGGGATTTTTTTCCATGTTTTTAAACACGTTGCTGTTTTAGATAGAAAATTTCTGCCTATGCAGTTGTGCTGCTGGATCTGCAGGGAGAGAATTGCATCTTCAGAAGGGTTTGGAGGATACTGAGATTGTTTTCTTGTTATTCCTTTCCTGCCTGGAAGAGGAAATGAGCCTTAATTATGGCCAAGCTGCCTGCGACGGGGTTTAATGATGGGTCTGCAAGTGACAGTTTGGTCACTGCACTGGGCTGTCTCCCCAGCCATTAAGGCCTGAGCCGTGTATCCCAGGACAACTGGCACATGCAGTGCTCTGGTAGAAGTGTCTTGGGTCTCTTTAGGATGAGAATTGGGCTGAAATAGTGATGTGGGGGTGTCTCTGCTCTCTTCCCAAACTGCTGACTGTGGGGGGAGAGAATGTAAGAAAATAAAGATGGTGCAGAAGGTAATCTCACCCCGATGAGCTGCAGCTGTACTAATTGCCAAAGAAGCCACAGCTGTGTCCAGTGAGGATGAGTGCTATAAAAGAGTGCGTGAGGTGGTTGAGAGGAGGGTTGGAGTTTGTTGGCTGTGCTGTGAAGGAGTCAGTGCTGTGAGGAGCTGCCCATGAGAAACCACCAAAAATGTGTGGAACTTTTTGCAATAAGATGACACCAGCTGATGTCCTGCTTCCTTTTCCATTACAACAAAATAATGAAAGTCTCATATGGCTCACACAGCTCTTGGGAGCTGGGGAAGGGGATCCTGGCTCTTCCCCTGCCTGGAGGAGCTCCAGTGCTCACACAGCATCCCAGACATCCCCCATCCCCTCCCTGCAGGTTCCTCCCCGTCCCATTTGCTCAGGGAAGAAAACAGTACAAATTAAACAGAATTTGTAACTGAAAGGATGAAAAAAAAAATCCTCTAGGAATTATTCACAGTGATTTTCTTTCCCTATTAAATGTTGACAGGAAGGTGGGAGCTCTTGCTCCTGTCCTCCCCAGGAAAGCCAGATCCATTCATTTCCATCTGCATATTAATGCAATTCCAAAGTCAGCCTAAACCTGCAGACAAAGAAACTGGCATCATCATCATTAATCACAAGCTCAATACATCAGGGTTCATTATTTGGTGAATTAATTGAAGAAAAAAACATTGGGGAAAGGATGTTTCCTGCAATAACACGATTTTGGGCTGCAAATGTCCCTGAAACAGCCGGTTGGTGTGTGCCAGCACAGGTTGCTGCATAATTAATCTGGGCTGGCTGCTAGTTTAACAGGGCTGTGAAATCTCTGGAACTGGTGCCTGGCTCAGCTTTCCCAGGGTGCTGGGTAATGGACAGAGGTCCTTGAGTGGTTTTCACATCCACTCTGCACTCGTTTCTGTTGCTTTTCCGCTAAATCCTCATTTGTATTTAAATTACAAATGTAATTTGAGCCAGAATTTGGGCTGCTAGTCTTTTAAAATAAAATTATATCTTGATGACTGTTGGCAGAAGAGATTTTTGGTAACTGGGGCTTGCAAACAGTCTCAGCTAAAGGCCTTTGGGAGTTCACAAAGGTGAGTTTTTAGAACTTGAATTCAGAATCATGGAATGGCCTGAGTTGGAAGGGACCTTAGAGCCCATCCAGTTTCATGCCTTGACATGTGCAGGGACACCTTCTACTGTCCCAGGGTGCTCCAAGCCCTGTCCAGCCTGGCCTTGGGCACTGCCAGGGATCCAGGGGCAGCCACAGCTGCTCTGGGCACCCTGTGCCAGGTTATCCCCACCCTCACAGGAAAGAATAAATTTAGAGATAGTTTCATCACTCCCCAGACCACCCCCTGAGCCAGACCTTGCTCATTTTTGATGCCTGGGAGACACAGGAGAGCTGGAAACTGCTTCCTATTTCCGATTTTATTTTACTTTAATTTTTAGAAAGCAGGGTTCCTGTACAGAAATGCCACTGTAAGGCAAATATCCCAAGGGTTGGAGCTGGAAATAGTGTCTGAAGTACTTTGTGAGATGCTATGGATGCGGCGTATTCGGCTCCATCATACATGGAGCAGCTGCTGTAGTGGGAGGTGTGATGGGAGGCCTTGGGGTCACTCTAATTTCATACAGCTATAGACATACATATATATTTATAAAAGTACACAAAGAGTTCCCTCCGAGCATCCTGGCTGCAGCATGGCCCAGTCAGGGCAGGATCTCCCAGTTCTGTTTGCCTGCACTAGGATTTGTCCCCAGTTTTCCAGCCCAGCATCACATCCGTGTCCAGGGCAGCCTTAGCTGCAGTCAGAGGTCTCTAAATAACACTAACCTGACAATGACATTAACTGTAGAAAGATTTCTCTGGGAGCAATCCCAGTTTGAGGAACTCCAGGAGAATTTTTACAATGGATCTGGAGCTTTTTGAAAACCATGTCTCTGAAGTGGCATAAGTTTTTCTTCCCATCTCCAGCTGTCTTTTGGACACAGCTCAGAGGGGGATGGAATGAGGTCCCATGGTGTGGCAGAGAAAATGGCCTCAAGTCATTCCAGGGGAGGATTAGGCTGGGTATTAGGGAACGTTTCTTCCTTGAAAGGGCTGTCCAGCCCTGGCACAGCTGCCCAGGGCAGTGATGGAGTAATGATCACTGAAGAGATTTAACCATCACTGTGTGGATGTGGCACTTGGGGACATGGGCTAGTGGTGGCCTTTGTAGTGGTAGAACAGTTGAACTGGATGATCTTGGAGGGATTTTCCAACCTGAATGATTCTGTGATGCTATAATCACCTCCTGGCACAGTTCCTTTCTGCCATGTGAGTGTTTCCCCTCTTGCCATGGGCTGTGGTGTCATCCTGGCCCATGCAGGAGGATAAGCACGAGGACATTGCAGTTCAGGTGCCCTGGGCTCTGCCAAGAGCCATGTGTTGGAGGGTGACAGCCCCTCTGGGTGTTGTTGGTTTAGGTGGTGGCATTAGTGGAGCATATTTGCCCAACTTGCCTCTTGTTCTTGTCCTTTCCCTACATCATTTGGCGAGTCCCAGTTCTCCCATTTTTCGTTCTCAGGATATAAAAAGCTTTTGCAGTCAGTCTGCACGCAAACCCAGCAGTGTTATGGAGCAGTGCCCAGCCCAGCATTCTGCTACAGCTCTGTGGTGGTGACCTGGGTGACTTCTGAGCGCAGCTCCTCCGCTCCGTGCGGCCGGCAGCCCCGCTGGGGGCTGCCCACCTCTAGTCATGCCGGCTTGCCGCGGGCCTCAGGGGGGGTGCAGGTGGAGACGTGCTCCCGCGTGGTGTTCCTGGCACGGGAGAAGCTGTTCTGGTCCACGCGGGCTCGGAAAGGCAGGCAGAACTCTCGGAAGCACCTCTTGAAGTTTTCATCCAGGAAAGCATAAAGGACAGGGTTGAGGCTGCTGTTGGTGTAGCCCAGAGCAATGCAGAAGTGCAGGCTGGCCACCACATAGGGGTTCTTCTTGTCTATGTCCACCAGCGTCCAGACGATGACGAAGATGTGGATGGGTGTCCAGCAGATGATGAAGGCTGCCACCACCACCAGCACCATGCGAGTGATGCGCCGCAGGTTGCGATCCTTCTCCTTAGAGCCTGAGAGGAGCCGGACGCTCTTCAGGCGAAGGATCATCAGCCCGTAGCAGATGGTGATGACCAGAATGGGGACCAGGAAGGCAAAGATGAAGACACAGATCTTGGTCACAGTGTCCCAGTAGATGGGAGGGTCAGGAAACTGGAGAGTGCACAGGACCACACCGTCTGTAGGAGAGAGGAGGGTCAAAGAGGAAGCTTAGTGTCTGCTGAGAATATTCTGCCTTCTGCTCAGTCATGGCTTGTTAAAACCCCAGGGAGATGCATTCCTACCTGCCTGCTCCTGGCAGAGGTTCCCCAGGAGCTCTGTGCCATCAGACCCCTGTCCACAAGACACTGAGGGGAGGCAGTGGATGCAGTGACCCTGGAACCTTATCCTTGCAGAGCCTCCTGGGCCATTCAAGGCAAATCCTCCCTTCTCCCAACCCCCATGATGGACATCTCCATGTCACATCCACATATCACCCTCCACTTCCTCAAGATGCCCAGAGCTTTCCTAGCAGCCAAGGACCAGTGTCCCCACACAGGAGCTGCAGACCTTAGGGTCACTTGGAGACTTTGCAGCATCACTGGGGTTTTTTATAGGCCCCTGCTTTGCATCCCAGGAGGTGGGGAGAGCTGTGGGATCCCTACCCTTAAGGGGAAGGGAGGACAATTTCTGGGACAGTTTCTAAGACGGGAAATAACACCATGATGCTTTTTCCAAGACAGAGCACATTTATGGTGTCACGGACAGGTGCCCACCACTGACCACAAATCTGCTACAGGACCAGAGGTCAGGTTTGCCAGGTCACCCCTGGGATTGACTGATGGGACAGGAGGGAACATGTCCCCTGAGACACTTGCCTTTTGACTTGGTGACTGCCATGATCATGACGGGCACCCCGATGAGGGAGGAGAGCACCCAGATGCAGACGTTGATGATCTTGGCTTTGGCCGGCGTGCGGAAGTCCAGGGCCTTGACTGGGTGGCACACGGCGATGTAGCGGTCCACGCTCATCATGGTGAGGGTGAAGATGCTGGTGAACATGTTGTAGTAGTCAATAGAGAGCACGACCTTGCAGAGCAGCTCCCCGAAGGGCCAGGTCTCCATCAGGTACTTGGCGCTCTGGAAGGGCAGTGTGCTGGTGGCCACTGCATCAGCCAGCGCCAGGTTGAAGATGTAGATGTTGGTGGCTGTCTTCATCTTGGTGTACCTGGGGGTGGCAGAGAAAGGGCATGTTACAGGTGGTCAGGGCACTTGACGTGATGAGGAGGGGGCACAGCCTCTCTGCTCACGAGGTGACACCAGCCTTGGTGGACAAAAGTGTTGTGATGTGCCCTTCTGCAGCACCAGTGTGCTTGGCATTTCCCCAAACCAGTTGTGCAATGTCCTTTATCCCCTCAACCCTCCTTCATCTGATTTTCCACCTAGTAAATTGTGATTATCCAGCCTGCTTCCCTGTCAAGTTTGCTTGCAGAAATTGGATCGATTACCCCCGGAAACAGGCCATCTGGAAGCAGCCCAATTAGCCAGCCTGGAGCTCCAGAGCCTTTGGGGAAGCCTGCTGTATCCCCCAGGGCATTTGGGAAGGGCTGGCTCTGCTTCTGGTTCTTGTCACACCATGGCAAGAGAAATGCATGGTCCCTCATGTCCAAACCTTTCCTGAAGGGATGAGGCAGAGTTATGGCAGATGCCAGAGGAGCAGGGATGTGTGTGTGTGTCCCAGGAGCATCCAGTCCCGCAAGTGTTGGTCAGAGGGATGCCTTGAATGGTGTGGTGGCTTGGAAATAGATACTGAGGGATCTGCTGGGTACCCCCAAAGGGCAACACGCATGGGGTGGGAGTGGCTCTGTGGAAGACCCTGCTCTTTACAGGAGTACACCAGCAGCTCCAGCTCTTCCTGTGCTCCCTTCCAGCAAATCCCCATTGCTCAGAGAGCATCCTCCCCAGCCTCAAGCTTTTATAGATATACCCTAATTAATTAACATCAGGGTCAGTTTGCCCAAAACCATCTCTGTGCGTGGCTAAACCTGCCTGTAGCAGCACTGGAATAAGGCACAAGGTGGGAGATTACCACTTTGTTGCTGAGATGAAAAGATTGTTTTCCTTGGTGTACTTATAAAATAGACTTTTCACATGTGTGATAGGGGTAAGACAGTTTTAAACTGACAGGTTTGAATCAGATATGAGGGTGGTGATAAGCTGGCACAGCTTGCCCAGAGAATCTGTGGCTGCCCCATCCCTGGAAGTGTTCCAGGCCAGGCTGGACAGGGCCTGGAGCAGCCTGGGACAGTGGAAGGTGTCCCTGCCCATGACAGGGAGTGTAATGAGATGGGCTTTAAGGTCACTTCCAATCTAAAGCACTCTAGGATTCTGTGATAACTGGTGCAGCTCATCACATGTTGGGGGTACATGAAATAAACTGAGGTGGGGGGATTGAGTGGCTCCCATCACAGGTGGTCCTGCCCTGGCTGGAGCCCAGGACAGCGGGTTGGTGTGGGAAAGATTCTGGGATTGATGGTGCTACCCAATCCCTTCCCCTTAGCCTTTCCACATCTCAGCAGGGTCAGGAGAGAGTGTATTCGTGGGGACAGAGACCCACCAGGTTCCATTGTCAATAGAACTGGGAACTGGAGCTGAAAAACTAATTTCTTTCTGGGAGAAAATAGAAAACAGCAGCTTAACCCAGCTCCCAGCTCCAAGAGCATTCCTGTCTCCTTCACCATGGCTGCAAATGGCAGCCCGTTGCCCAAGGGTGGAAATATTCAAGCTGAGCTTTTTTTAAAAATTTAAATATGGCATTAAAAATGTCTTGTCCTTGAAAAGTCCTTTTCCATTCTCTTTAGTGTTATTTTCCAAGTGCTTTTGCAGAAAAGTTTCCTCCCAGGTTAAACAAAAAGCTGAGAATTTGTGGTATTGTCAGGTTTTGTCTCTCCTATGTGAACAGTCAGTTCAGGTAGAGTCACACATCTGTGGTCTCTCTTTTTTGAGTAAAATGGTAAAAAAATCTGTTATTCATTCCATGATCTGCCAGCTGTGCTTAGCTGTCCTGGGTAAGCACTTCCCAACCCCCTGCCAGATGTGCCAGGAGGACTGGAGGGCCAGAGCTGTCACCCATCCCCAGGCAGGAGGGGGCTGGTGAGGGCAGAGCAGTGACAGGGATGACTGGGATAATGGAGATGATTGGGATGATAATGGGAATGTCTGGGATGACGGGTTGACTCTGCTGATGCATTTGACTGGAATGACAGGGATAACTGGGATGAGGCTGGGGATAACTGGGATGATGGGGTTGATGGGAATAACTTGGGATGGTGATAGGGATGACTGGGATAATAAGGATGGCAATTTAGCTTCTAGCACTGGGGTTTTGGAGCAAGATTCAGCCCCCTCCAGGTTTGGGCTGAGGTTTCAACCCCCTGCACAGGGTGAGGTGTCCATCCTGGTGAACCTCCTGAGCTGCAAATGAAACTGCTGCTCCAGGAAAGAGGCTTATTGCCCACATTAGAGCAAATCATCCACTGCTGCTGATGGACCTCCCCAGGCTGCCAAACCCATTGCAATTAAGTGAGTGCCTTGATTGGGAAGTTATGCACTTGAACGGAACAATCTGGGAAATGTTGATGGAGAGAAGAGATGGGAGGGATGGGGCAAGCACAGGGCAGCTCCACATTCCAGTCTCGACTCCCAAGTAGGGATGCCCTCTCCAAACCTCTTGGAAAATAAATAAGTGAAAGAAAAGTGAACAATAAGTGAAAGAAAAATTCCTGGAGCTGCTAAAAGCCACTGCCTGAAGAGGCTGGCTTGACAAAGCGTGCAGCCAGCGGTCCCTGCAGCCTGTGTGGGAGCTGGTGGGGGGCTGAGGGGCTGAGTGGGGCTGAGGGCACTTGCCGCCCTGAGCTCACAGCTGCAAATTGTTTCCAGGAGTGTTTTTAAAAGCCCCTGACAATGCAGTGGGCACGGCAGTGCTGGTCAGGGTGCTGGGTGTGCTGGGCTCCCTCCAGGTGTGCAGCTGGCTTTGGCTGCTCTGGACAGGGATTTATTTGGAGTTTGGCTGTGCTCGGCTCATGGTGTGTCCACTCACAGAGCTATATACCAGGGTCCTGTGTCTGCATCTGCCAGCCCCTGGCACTCGTGGACTTTGTGGCAAACTCAGGGTGGTCCCAGAGGTCCCGGCCCCCAGGATGTGCTCCAGCCGTGCTTCCAGACTGCCTGGACACCCTGCCTGGAACCCAAGGGCACTGAGAGGTGGCACTAGAGGAGCACAAGGCAAACACCCAGAATCTCCCTGGCACTGAGGTCCAAATCCAAGCTGATCCCTTTCTTCCACAGACACAGGTCTCCCCTAGTCCAACCTAAACCTTGTCAACATGGAGCAGCTCTGACAAGGACCTCTGGGAAACTCCAGATGGCTTTGGCCATGGAGGGGGCACGTGTCCCTGCAGCCCCTCCTGTCCCAGGGGCTTGGAGGATGAGATTTGCTCATTTCACGGGAGATATTCCCCATCCCTGGAAGTGTTCAAGGCCAGCTTGGACAGGGCTTGGAGCCACCTGGACTAGTGGAAACAAGATGGTCTATAAGGTCATTTCCAACCCAAACCGCTCTGTGATTCTGTGTTTAATTCCATCATCAATTGGAAAATGTGGGGCTAGAAGGTGTGGTGATGGGATCTGTGGCTGTCAGGCTTGCTAAAGCCTGGGTAACATGGAGTTACTCAGTGAGTAAAATAGGGAGGATGTTGTTTGCATATGAAATCACTCTCTTTAAAATGCCTTCCCTCTCCTCTCACAGAATGAGCTGGAGGGGGTCTAATAACACTCATCCCTCACCCTGACATTATTCATGGCATCTGTCTCTGCTGCAATTACCTCAATTTGCTTTTTCTGACCAGGGCTCATTTTTGATGCCACTTTGAGTGGGTGAAAAATCCCATAAGGCGTCAGGTTGGGTCAGTGAGTTACTCCCCCATGGCACTCCCCATTGCCCACCCTCTTGAATGGTTAAAAACACAGAGAGTGGGGAGCAGGGGCAGCAGAGCCTCATACCAGGGCAGTGGGCACTCCAGGGCGGCTCATGGACACGTTTCAGGATGGTTTCCTTCCCTCCAGTGAGTCACCACATTTATTTGTGTGCATGCAGTGCCAGGCTGTGCTGACCTCCTGAAACAATAGCTATGGACTAAAAAGGACAGGGAAATGAGGGTGGAAATGGTTAAAGGTGTGAATTTGGAGGGTTTGTTTAAATCCAGCCACCAGCTCTGGTTTGGCTCTGGGGTTTTGCTCAAGCTGGGGTTACAGCATCACCTGAGGCAATGGGAATTGGAATTACCCCACAGGTTCTGGACCTACAGGACCAAGCCCCCTCCAGTGCAGAGGGGGTGGCTGTGAAGCCCAGGCACCCAGTGAGACCCTTGTGCTCCCTCCTGCCAGGCTGGAGGTGGTGGGGTCTGCGCCCTCACAGAATGTGACTGTGAGCACAGCCCCATCCTCTGCTCCTGGCAGAGCTGTGGAGGAGCAGGACCACCCAGTGTCGGACAAAGGGACCGATGAGATTTTGTACCTTAGCACAAGTGCCTGGCTGGATACAGCAGCATCTTGCCATGCCCCCTCTTTATAATGGGGGGCATTTGGGTCATGTTGTTTGTCCTGGGGTGCAGAGACCGTGCAGACCCTGTCTCTGCCCAGGGAAAGCCTCACCACAGGTCCGAGGTCTTGGATGCAGCTGCAGTAGGTCTCGGCTACTGGAGATGGTACCCCACACTGAGGGGACCAGAGCACAGCTCAGCTGCTGTGGGAGATGGGGCTGGGCCGTGCAGTTTCTGTTCTTTGTTAGAGGAAAAACAGAAGTCAGGCAGCTGCAGGAGGTGCTGGCACAAGAAGGAGCTGGGAATGGGCTGGGTGGGTAATTCCCACTGATGGAGTGAGGTGGCAGCAGTGGGAACCCACCAGCCCCTGGCTGGGGAGGGGGGGGGTCTGGACCCACCCTGCAAACAGGGCATCTCCCACCCGCAGCGTCAGCAGCCCTGCGGCTTCTCTTCCTCACAAAGGACAAGAGGCACCCACTCGGGGTCGGGCTGTGTCGCCCATGCCCCCTCCCCATGGCCAAACACAGCTCCCCTGCACTCCCCGAGCTGCTCCAGCCTCTGCTTTCACCCCTCCACAGCACCTGCACCCCCCGCCCTTGCACAGCTTGCACACGCACTGCTCACACGCACAGTCGCACATCGCAGCTGCCAGCAACACCCTCTCGGCGCTGCAAGCAGCCCGTTCACAGCCAGCCCTCCTGCTGCCCGGGGAGCACTCACACGCGAGGCAAACTCACACCCAGAGCGTGCATACCTGGCGCACACTCACACCCGTTGCACACTCGCTCTTGGTTCACACTTACTTCTGCTGCTGTTTGACACGCAGCACACGCTCAGCCCCGCGCCCACCCTCTCTCAGTGCAAACTCCCTCCTGGTGCTGTCTCAGCCCCGGTGCGCGCTCACTCAGCGCCAGCAGCTCCCAGCTCCCGTGTGCGGCACCGGGCACAGCCGGGCTGCACCGCTGCTCTCCCCCTGCTGCGCCCACGGTGCCCCTTCTCCCCCGGGCTGCCCGCTCTCACCTGACGATGCCGTACATGACCAGGACGTTGCCCAGCAGCCCCACCACGCACACCACAGAGTAGAGCGCGGTGATGACGATGGCGATGAGGATGGATGTGGCGTTCTTGGCCCGCTGCAGGCCCGTGTCGTTGACGCCGTGTCCGGGCAGGGGGGCCCAGGCGGTGCCGTTGCCCCAGGGGGTGGCGGTGGCGGCGGGCAGCCCCGAGGGCAGCCCCGAGGTCACATCCACGGGCAGCTCCATGGCCCGTGGGCGGCCGTGGCCCCGCCGCAGCCGCCGGGCGCATCCGAGCCCCGCGGGTTCGAGCCCCGCTCCCGGCCGGTGCCGCCGCCGCCTCCCGCACTCGCGGGCCCGGAGCGCTTTATAAACCCGCGTGTCCCCCGAGCCACGTGGGGCCGGGGGCGGCCCTGCTCGCCCGCCCGCCCCCTCTCCCGTCTGTACCCCCCCTGCTCCCCGGATCGCTGCCTGCTGCTCTCCCCCTGTCTCCCTACCTGTCTCCCCCGTCCCCGCCTTCCTCCACCTCGGTCGATGGCTGCCTTTCTCCACTCGGCAGGTCCCTGTCTTCCCGTTTTCCCCGCATCCCTGCCTACCTTTCTCCCCCACAGATCCCTCCGTGCGCCCCC